AATGATTACAGCAGCAAGACAAAGGACTTCAAGAAGGTTATAGGAGAAAGAAATTGAATCTGATGCATTTCATCATGTTGACAGGGTATTTGTAGTTCAGGGGGAGATTTGGAAGAGGAATTAATGAAAAGGAAACTAGAAAAGGCATATATACAAACACAAATAACATGAGAAAAAGTTCTCTACGAAAGAAATGGCATCATAGTAGATTACATGGCTCAGCTCTAAACATTTTTATTGCCATAATAATGTAAGCCCTGAATACTTATTTAAACACAAATTGTGATAACTTTTTTGGTGAGGATGGGTGAGAGGAAAGTGCGTATGTATTGAGGGTGGTGTAGAGGAAGCAATTTCACATCGTCCAACTTACAAATTTAATATACCATATCTGAATATAAGGAAACAACCAGAAATTATAAGCATATTATAGAAATGGAGATAGGCTGGGCGTGGTGGCTCACACCTGTAATCACAGCACTTTGGGAGGCCAAGGTGGGTGAATCACAAGGTCAGGAGTTCGAGACCAGCCTGGCAAGATGGTGAAACACTGCCTCTACTAAAAACACAAAAATTAGCTGGGCATGGTGGAATGCACCTGTAATCCAAGCTACCCGGGAGGCTGAGGCAGGAGAATCTCTTGAACCCGGGAGGCGGAGGTTGCAGTGAGCTGAGCTCATGCCACTGCACTCCAGCTTGGGTAACAAGAGCAAAACTTCATCTTAAAAAAAAAAAAAATGGAGATAAAAGACAAAACAAACAAAAGAATTGATTGAAAGTCATTGTCCCTGGAAAGCAGGAATTGGAAAGGAAACTGCTGGTTTTTAAAAATTGCTGTTGTTTCGGATCTTGTGGTAATATTCACATTTTTAAATTGTATACATTGATACTACAAAGAATTTAAAAGTAAATGTAAAGTACATTTGGAATGTTGAGAAAAACATACTTCCCTATAATGGCTGGTGTGACAACTCGGAAAAATCCCTAACAGATAAGCATTCTATCTTCACTTTATATATGAGGAAATTAAAGCCCACAGAGATTATGCAGGTTGACACAGTTATTCAGTGACAGAGCCAGGCATCAAACCCAATCTTTCTGCTTCCTGTTTCAGGGATCTTCATAATACCTCCTGCCTTCTCATTATCTAGTTTGTATTTGTCATGTTGCTTTAAATAATATCATCCACACAGAAACAACTTCAAAAAACTGAAAATAGAAAATGGCATCCTTCATTAGGCATGGCTGAGCTAGATGAACAGATTCTAACCATATCTTAGATCTCTGTTGCACCCTGTTTTGAAGACAGTGAGGAATGGAGATGAACATTAATGTAAGTAGCACATGTAACTTTGGAACCTAAAGCCTTTCCGAATGGATAAATGCTTCTCGTTAGACTATCCCAAGAAAAAGAATTGATCTCATCACTTAACAAATGTTTTCAATTTGATTCAGTGCACCTGGGAAATAACATTTCTATTTGCTGCCAAAATATGATTGCATTAAACTTTAATAATGTACCTGTCATGGGGGTTAGACAAGAATATTTTAATTGAGTGTCAACTACACCCCACTGGAATACACTAATAGATTTACTTTTTCAAAAAGTTAGAAACATTGATGAACTCTTAGTTGTCTGCTATTAGTTTTATATAGCCACTGATTAGTATTGCCCCCCTTCCACAAGTACAAGGCATTGCTAGACTTCTCCTTGGTAACCAGATATTTTTTTGTGTCCTTTGGTACTTGCTCCTGAAAGTGTCATTATGATGTCTGCAATTTGTGGAATTCAATGGCAGCTCCAGTTAAATAAACAAAATCTAATTATGTCAAAATTAGGCTTTGCTCAAATTAGTATGATTGATTTTCTTTCTGTATAATCTGTGAACACCTGCAAAAATGGTAAATGTCAAGGTGTTTCTTAGAAAACTTTAAAAAATTTAAAAGAACTGGTGAGGGAAATGTTGATTGCATTGCTGTATAGTCTATATGTTTGATCTTTTTAATCTAGGTCCTTGTGTTTTGGATTTATGAACCCCTGCAATTTTATGCAAAATGACACATGAGTGTGCATTTTGCAAAAAGATTGTCTTTAACTTTCATGAAATTTTAAAAGAGGTTTCTAACCCCCAAACCACAAAGAACCGTTGCTTTCCAGAAAGAAATAGAATCCATGTAGAATCCCTTAATTAGGTTCTTCTTAGTGGAAATAAAAATATTTTTGTAATAGGTGCTAGTAAATATCTGAGAGATAGAAAGTATTACATTTGCCTTCCGCTATTACTATTCGATTCCTTTTCTATTTCTGGAGTCATGAATATCAAAGTTCATCTAAGACAAATTTCGTCTCCCCTCCCACTCTACCCCCAATTTTTTCTTCTAGCTTTTGAGGATTCATATGAGATTATCAACAGACAATACTTTTTGTCATGGCTTCCTAATTGAATTTTTTACTTCTCTTTCTGGATTACATACTGAAAATATTTATGAGAATAGCGAAAATCTCAAGCATTTATATTACTTAGTGATGCCGATGGAGTCAGTCACGTTGGTCTTGGTTTCTTTCATTGATCAGAAGCAGACTTTGCGCCATCTTTGCCAGAGCTCTCACAAGACATTTCCGCGAAGCTATTACAGAGCAGGAAGAGCCTCAACTCAATGCTAGGTGTGTGGCCTGGCTTTATGGACTCTTTTTTGAAAAAAATTATATTTACTTAGATTTATAGCCAAGAGATTTTATCGCTATTAAATTTAATCTCTAGCAACCTAGACACATCCCATAAAACTTCTAGGAAGAAAGTTTAATGGCTTATTATAGTTAATTAACATTTTTCTTTCATATTTTAAAGTTCAACTATATTATATTTTATATTAATAAGGAACACAACACATACTCTCAGAAGCTTAATAATCTACTGAGAAAAATCTACAGAGTTTAAAGAGAAATAAAACATAGGGTCAAGTCAGGTTTTCAGAGTCAGTAAAGGAGATGAGTCACCACATTGTGAAACTTTCTCAGTTTTCCACATCCAGAAATTAAATTTTGAAGTGCATTTAGCCTTCTTTGTTTCTTAGATATCAACTCACGCTAACCAAATTAATGAAACAGTAAGGTATAGATCAGACACAAATGTATGTGTTTCTAGGAAGCTGAATATATTAATGTTGGTTATATTTGTGTCTTCTACTTTTAATACTTCCTGGAATCTAGACACTTGGAAACAAAAACCATTAACAGTTAGTTGGTAGCTGAAATAGAGTTGTAACAGAAAACTGGCTATGGGGAGATTCCTAATGAATGATCTCAACTTTACCATAGTACAGCTCTCCAGAGACAAAGATTTTATGACTGCATGGTGGCTTGGCCCAGATTTCCTACGTGTGTGAATTGGCTTTGCCACTTTCTAGCAGTGAAACTTTGGATAGATATTTAGCTTTTCCAAGTCTGTAGGGAAAATAATAGTATCTACCTCATAGGTTGTTAATATGTTTGAAATAAGAGAATGAGTGTAACATACTTTGTGTTGTGTTGGTATGTAATTAATGAATTGTATCCATTGGCCACTCCATTTCCCCTTCTCTTATATTTATTCTTTTTCTTTGTCCTTATTCTCTTCATTCTTAATAAACTACATCCATTTTTTCCTTGAAAAACAAGAAATAATCACGTATCTTCAGAAACGCTTAGCCTTGTTTTATGTGTATGGCTTGAAAATTTTACATAAATGACATTGTGTTCTAGATCTCATTCTGTTTCATGCATTTTTCATGCTACTATATGAGAATTTAATTCCTTACCTCCAAATGTTACATAGTATTCTTCCATGTGTATAAGCCATAATTTATGCATCTCTTCACTTGATGATGGACACATGTGGCTTCCAACTTTTTACTGTTCCCCAAACAACTCTGTGAAAAAGAAACACGTGCACAGTTCCTTGTGAATCTGTACTAGCTTTTCTCTGGGGTCTGGCTTCCAGGGGCAAAATTGCTGGATCATAATGTACACATTTACATATGGTGGACTTGGAAGGACAAGACATACTTTTACATAATTTCCCAGTAGAATAGGGAAAGGGATAGGATGAGAAATGGAAGATGAATAGAAAAGTACTAAAACAAATCAAGGACTTTCTCAGATTGATGTAATAGCATGACTTTGACTAATGAGTATGATCAACCTGTGCTGTGTACCTAAAATCCTTAAAAATGAAATTAAAAAGAGTGTGGCTTAATGCATTGCCAACATAAATACCATACCCACTACAATGGCTTAGTAGCTCCATCTGCACTCCATAGCCAGTGTGCCGGCCTCCTACTATCCTACCAAGATGGTGCAGAAAATCATTAGGTGGCATTCACACACATAGGAAATCTGGGCCAAGCCACCATGCAGTCATAAAATCTTCGTCTCTGGAGAGCTGTACTATGGTAAAGTTGAGATCATTCATTAGGAATCTCCCCATAGCCAGTTTTCTGTTACAACTCTAATGATTTTAAAACTCCTGAGACTCAGACACAGACAGTGAAAAGCTATTATTCTGCTTTGCTAGTCTATGAAATTTTAACTATAGATCTCTTTGTTAATCAGCCCTGGAGATTGCTGTGACTTAAATGGTCTCCAGGCCTGACCATTGCTGACTCCCAATTAGCCTGTAAAGGTATCTTATAAGGGGACTGTTTTGACATCTTTGACCATTTCATCCAATCAAACAATAAAAGGTCTCACACTGAGGAAATGTAATGTCACTGTTTTAATACACTCTGTGGTCACCAGTGTTAGCAAGAGGTATGGAATCAGGAGTGTTGAAGTTAAGCAGTGCGAAAAGAAGTGTCAAGCCAGGAGTCAGTATTAGTTTAAATTTCCTCTCATAAATAGATATTACTCTTCTTTTTTAAAGAAAGAAAAGAAAAATATTTCAAGTAACTGTTTTGCCTATGCCAAAGTATTGAAATAACTAAACCTTTCATTTTCAACAACACTTTTTGGTTTCTCGTAGGCCCAATGCTAAATGACAAGGTAACGATTTCTTCAGGAACTGAGGAGAGACAGGCCTGGAGAGTTGTAATGATTTTCTTCACAACTAGTAAGAAGAGAAATGATATGAAAGAGGAGTCTTCTCTGAGACATGTTCACAAGCAGGTCGGACCTTTCATTCAGAACAAGATTATTTTAATTTTTAACGGTTTAAGATATAACTGATTCCTTAAATTAGTTCATCTTGCTCAAGCCATTATAATATTAATTCACTGTTATTTTTGGTAATACAGATCATTGTTAATTTTTTCTATTTAGAAGCCAGGAGTACACAAGGGAAGGGCACATTCAGAAGTAACTAACACCACTACAATTTTAGGACCTTTCCATTTTATTGATTTGGGTTTTATTTAAAATTTTGTGTTTATTATGTCTTTATTTTTTTATTATTATGTCTAATATTATGTCTAATATGTTTTCACTCCTTAAATCTGCTCTGTATATGTTCTGTTCACAATATTTAAACATACAATGACTATGGCCTCATTTTCCAAATCTAATCTAGCCTAAACCCTTTGGTGGGGCAAGAAAAGCAAGTTGTAAAATAATCTCTTTGTCGTGACCCTCAAGTCATATCTTCTGGACTTGAAAGGTACACTGGATGTCCTATGTGTTGGTGCCTCATGCTGCTCAGCAGGAAATCTGAACTGTTCTCACCTCTCTGGTCCTTCTGTCTCACCAGGAGATACACCTGAGAACATTCTCTACATTGTCTTAATTCTCCTGCCTTCTGCCTTGGGTCACTCAATCCAAATGGAAGAGATTGCACTGTTCATATTAGGGATGCTTTAATTCTATAGTTCAAAGATTGCAATTTGACACAAAAATCTACTTTTTCTAGCTCTAACAGTTCTGTTGAATATTAAGAGGAGGGAATCTTTTGTTAAAAAATAGCCTGCAATTCAGTAGCATCATCTTTGTAAGTAGAGGCTGCACAATCACCCACTTGCTGGTCACTGCTCTGCTTTGGGTCATCTGAAGTCGATCACTGCATCCTTGGAGGATGGTGTGAAATGCCAGTGAAACCGTGAACTAATTCAATGACATGCCCATTGTTCCACTCACTTAGGCAAATGCTTTTTCTCAACAGGGAAGCTTCTCACATATTCCTAACAGTACTAAATGAGCTCGAAAAACTTAAGAATGATACCCCACTGCTGCTTGTCTCTAGTTCTTAGTTCTCATCCTGGCAGGCAAGACCCCCAGCATCATCTCAGTCATAAAGTACTTGTGAGCATTCAGAAAGGCCTAAGTTAACTAGCGTCAGGTTACACAGGTTTGGAAGCTTGAGCACATTCTATGGCATTTGTGGTATGGCCTCTGTAGAATCGATATCCTTAATCATAGATAGCAGATGGAGCTGTGAGACAATGACCTTCCAGAGTGCCTTCCCCAAATAGACTTAACGCTACCACACTTCAAAGGCAATCACTGTCCATCCGCTCCAGGTCAGCGTGCAGTGCTGGCCGGGGGCTTGGGCTACCAGAAAGACACTGGCTAGAGTTGAACGCTTAATCTCCCTGCTCCCAAGTACAGATAAAAGGAGAGAGAGAGGCTCACAGCCTTCTAGAACTTTATGTGCTTAAATGCTGATAAGAGCTACCATTTGCTGCATTTTGGTCACTCTGGAATATAAGACCCCTGAGACAGCAGCTGATGTGGCTAAGGAACAGTCAGGCCAGATTTGGTGATACTTATTTTGCAGAACACAGAATCCAAGAATCCTCATGAATACCAGTCAAAAGCATGACTCAGGCAAAGGGAACAGACAATAAAAAGAATGACTTCACATTTCACAGCAGGAATTCTCTGGCCTCGGAGAACACTAGATACCTCTGGACCACACATCCCTTTGGCAGAATACTTTTCTCATCTACAGATCACTGTATGGCTCAGTTTACCTGAAGCCTCTTGTGGTTTCTCCACCTAATAACCCACATGATTTTTTTCTAGAAAAGCAGCATAGATGGAGATGGAATGTAACACCTGAAATAATAGGATTTTACAGGAAATAATGTAAATCAAGCCTTTTGCCCTTAATGACCCATAATAAAATGCTCTTGTTACCAAGCTCTGCAGGCAACCCAGTGCAGGTTGCCATGGAAACACCCAGCTGCTCCTCTGCGCAGTTGCTTAATGATCAGTGTGATGTCAGGCTCTGGAGAGAAGCACAAGCTCAGACAACTCTTTACAGTCACAGGGACAGTCCACTTGGGACTGCAGTTACGTCTGAGTGGGGGCCCCTGTGTCCAGGTATAATTAAAATGCACTCAGACCTATGACTGGAAATGCTTTCAGCAGAAAATCACGTCGCCTTTTTCATTTCTCCATTCATTTTCATTTCTCCACATGACTGCCCAGTCTTCTGACAAGCCAGAAGCAGGGAGGCCATGGCATGTTGCTGCAGATGGCGCGTCATCAGTCTGTGACCCGGCTCCCGCTCTACATGGGTGGGAGATGCAGGGGCTCTACCTTGACCCATGCCATAAAAGGTCACCTTTTTGTCCCCTCTTCCCATGTTCCCTGCATCCACCTTCCACAGTGACTGGACCTGAAATTCTCACTATTACTCATGGCTTGATTTAGATAACAAAGGCAAGAGCTTTTGCCCAGAATATTATTTTCAAAATGTATTTATTATCTGGGAAGAAAAGACAAGCCCTGGGGAATCTCTTCCTGTCCTTCGCTCCTTTTATTTTTTTTTCTCCCTTCCTCTCTTTCATTCTCTCTCAAAAGGGTTTATTAGGTGCCTATTGTCTGCAGGTAATTACCAGAAACACAAGGATGAATGAAGCTTGATTGCTGTCCTCCAGGAGCTGACAGGTTATTAGATGGGGACAAGCATGTAAACGAATGCATGAGCTAAAGAGACAGAGGTGTGTACAGGGCACACGTGGATAAATCCTACCTGAGGGAGAGCTGGAAAGGCTTTTTCGGGGGTGGGGGGAAGATGCTTACTGGGCAACCTCTTGGGAAGAAATTAATGGGATTGTGGAATTAATGGGAGGAAGGGAAGAGGGACACTGTGAGTAAAGACTGAAGGCACAAAATAATCTTGTATGCTTGATAAATTGCAAGCAGTTGAGAATGGCTGGAGCTTTGGCCAGGATAGTAGTCTAGGGAGAAATACATCAGAAGTAGGCAGGAGTGAGAATCTAATGAAGTTTGACTTGACTTTACAGGCCAGTAGGAGCTACTAAAGCATTTTCAGGAGGGAAGACAGAGAATTAGAATTGCTGTTTAGGAAGATCATTTTTTTTGGTGGGGGGGCAACAAACAGCATATACTGAGGAAGTAGGAGACATGGAACAATTAGGGAGTTAGTGGGAGAGCGTGACTGTACAGAACGGCTATTGTTTTTTGTCTAACATCTGTTTCTTTGGAAGAGAATCACCTGTCTCTCATTGCCTGGCCCACTCAAACAAGGGTGGACAAATAACCCAAACTCAACCCATTATAGGACCCATCCCTGGTTCAAGTGGGCACATAATCCAAGCAGTTTTTATCAAGCTTCTCTACTGAAAATTCACATATGCACGCCTAGACATAGAATTATTTCTCCTCCTCTTCCTCCTCCTTCTTCTTCTTTCTTTTTCTTCTTCTTCTTTATAAAAGAATGTAGCTTTGCAGCTTCCAGAGGCCATCTTTCCTGTTACATGGAGAAAACCTGATCATTAAGTCAATACTTGCAGGAAAATGAACAAGAAGAAGGGGAAACAGAGCTGTATTAATATTGTTTGAGCCTCTAACAGTCTAGAGTCTACCTCCCCCTGTGTCTGAAACTAGTTTACCAGTGGACTTCAGAGTTATATACACCAATAAGTTTATTTTTGCTTGAGCAAGCTTGAGTTAGTTTTTAGTCACTTGGGACTGAATGATTCCTGATTATGAAAACAGGTAAAAATGACGACAGCTTGAGCCAAGGTTGTAGGGGATGGAGAGGATGGTTTAGGCAAAGTTAAGGAAACCACCCAGGAATTGGAGAGAGAGAGACTATGGAGTGGAAGGGGAAAAAAATCAACCAGAATTATGCCCAGATCCTTTGTTTCAGTGAATAACAATGCCACCTTATAAGACGTTGAATATAAGAAGAGAAACAATTATTTTGGGAAAGAGGTACATGTTTTAATTTATTGGGTTTTAGATATTTGAGGGATGTCTAGTTGAAATTTTCGAGTAAACAATTAAGATTTTCTATAACCCACTCCCTGAAATACGTGCAACTTATAGAACCACATGATGGTAAGCATCTTAAAAGTCTTCCAATCATGCTACTCATTTGATACTTTAATTCCTTCTGTTGAACATTTATTAAGTGCCTGTTGGTGTCATGTGCTGTGCTAGGAGGAAAGTCACAATATGTACTCACAGCCTGCGTTCTTGTGAGGTTCACAGTCTAGCTGGGGAGACAGACATGATATTTCCATGGGCTGAGAGAGAAGAGCTACTAGTGGCACCTGCGAAGTACTGGAGGGACACAGAGGTTGAACCTTCCAGCTGTGGACCTACAACTCCTGATCAAAAGGGTTGTGCAGTTTCTGGTTTGGTAAGTAGATTGGAGAATATATCTTCTTCTGGAGTAGCCTGATTTCCTTTGGGAAAACTAGATTTATAGGCAGTTTTATTGTATGTTGACTCAATTGTGTCTCTCGCTGGCCATGGTTCTATTCATCAGGCCCTTACACAATATATTTAGTCTGTCTCCTATGTAAAATAATCTTCTTTTATTTTCATAAGATATTTGTGTGTTCCTTTCATCTTTCCCCTTCCAGTCTAAACATCAGATCTAGTACTTTTCAATGTGCTTCATGTGACATGGCTTTTGGTGGTTTTTAAAGTAGCTTTTATCATTATATAAAGTTATCTTATCCACTATGTATTTGTCTTTTGTTTAGTCATTAAATAATCATCCTCATGTGAACAGGAACCTTGTCCGTTGTAGCCATCATTTATCCCCAGCATCAAAATTAGTGACTGAAACAAAGTAGGCACTCAATAAACATTTGCTGGAGAATAGCTTCTAGTGTCTAGCCCATCATCATCTCAGTAGATATTTTGGGAAGGCATTAGTTTGTCTGTGACCCAACTAATGTACAGAGTCCACTGGAGAATATAACACTCTGAGATCACTAGAAACATCACAAAGTATAAAGGGGTGGTTGCCAATTTGTTCTGGTTTCATATGTCTATATTAGGCAGTCCAAGATTGCACTGCTCTTTTGGGGAGCTGCGTCACACTGCACCCTATATCGGTCATCTCAAACCATTAATTTTTTTTTCATGAAGCAGTTATTAACGCCATAGCCTCCTATCCTGGAAGAGGATTCTTCTTCTGTTGCTGGATTCTTATTTTTTTAAATCTTGAATTTAGAATACCACATACATCTCTGCGAAATTTAGCCTAAAAAATGTTTGCACGGCTTTTGCTTGTGATTCTGTTATCCAATCTTTAGTTCTTCCTGCTTTCTAGCATCAGCATAATTAAAGAGCCTGCAGCCTCCCAAAGGTCAGGCTTTCTGCATTGCCTGTACTGCTACCCTCGAATCCCAGCCCGTGCTCTGTCATCAAGAGCATCTTCAGTTGAATGTTTATTGGACAAATTTCTAAAGGCGTGCCTATTATATTTCTTTCAAGTTATTAATTAAAATGTGCAAAAAAAACAGAATGGTTTAGCTTTCTACTGGAAACATCCCTCTTTTGTTATTTATCTATCTATCTATCCCAAATCCAGCACATTTGGATTCAGTTCATTTTTTTCTCCTTCACCTTTCCGGAAATTTTGCTGTCATCTAGATACATTGCATTTATACTACAGTACCAATCTCAATGAAAGAAATGAGTTTGGACTGACATAACCTAATATTAAGAAACCCATACTGGCTCCAGGTGATCACCAGTTACTCTTCCATGGGTTCCAAACCCACCACTTACGGGCAGATGTTACTTGATCTCCCTCATGGACACTCTGGTAGGGAAAGAATTTGTAGGAATCAATTGTGAAATTGCATTGACCCTTCTTTCACATTGCCACAGCAGTCAAAGATGTGTGTGGGGAAGTTGAAATAAAGAAGCAGCTACAGAAAAAAAAAAAAAAAAGAAAGAAAACAAAAACCCTAGAGGATGTATTTTTAAAGGATGTAATTTATGTAGTCTATTTTGGGGCTACATAAATTCTCATTTTGTTTAGAAAAGCATCACATACCCAGTGCTTATCCAAAATATGCACATTGATTATTTATAATGGGCAATGTTCAAGATAGAACCTTCCTCCCCTCTTTAAGCTGAAGGGTTATTTGGGCCAAGAGGGTGCTGAGTGGAGGAAGCAGGAAGTAGGGGTGGGAGTTCACTCTGCTCCATAGCCCCTTTGAGAGCCTCATCGAGTTAAGAGAGCATTGGTTACATGAGCACTGCTTTTTTTCTCTATTTATGTCATGGAACACTGTGAAGGGCCTTCCCTAGATTTCAATGCCCTTTTAAAATCAAAGAGCATGTGGCAATGGACCAAGCCAATAGCCACTGTCAATACAAAACAGCATGCCCTTTGGTCCTGAGTGCCTTCAACCAGAATCCATCAGCATAAAGAACCACATTTCCAGGAAATGTGCAGGATATTTAATGGCAATCAATGTATTTCCTCCATGATTTCTGGCTGCCTCTTTTCTGTGGAATTTGGCAAGAAGATGGGAATTCAGATGCGGCTATGTATGGGGTAATTCAGCAGGCTTGGAACATCATTTTGTTCCAGTTAATTTGAGGAGGCTGTCACTTTCCTCAAGTCTGTGACAGTTAGGATGTTTGTTATTACATCTCTGCTCTCCACACCCTGTAAACTATAATAAATTTGATGAAAATGCAGATACCTCATGGACATGTTATTTTTGCTCATAAAGAGTCTTTGAGACACACTTAAATGGTTTTTAAAATGAGCCTAAAATGTCATTTTGGGGATTTGTAAGGCATTAGAGAGTTGCATCCATCTCTTTCTCCTTCCCTTCTCTCTTTCTCTTTAGAAGTGCTTAGAAAAGCGTGAGCATCTTGGGGTCAGAATATCATTATAAAGCAAATTACTACTAAAATGAGCTAAATGCTAACCTCATAGTCTTAAGGAGTCCTTTCCTTACACTGTATGTTGAACTGATTGCTTGAAAATAACTAAATCATCCGGGAGTTTTCAATCATGTAATATTTCATAGTTCTTCTGGGGACAGAGACTGAATGTGGTTACTTTGCAGAGCATGATGTTTAATCATGCGAAGTGTCTTGATGAGTACTGTTTGATGAATAATAATAATAAATAGTAATAATATCCCACAAGCATTTGCTGACTGATGCATTTAAGGACTGAAGAAACTCCTGGTTTCTTCAGTTTCACTGCTTCTCTATTTCTCCACCAGATGGCAGAAGAAGGGCCAGGATATTGACCCTGAAATATTTTTTTGATTCTTAGATATTAAATATGAGATTGTATCAAAGGTTGGAAGTGAACATTTAAGTATATTCCCATAAATTTATGTGTATTATAAAATCATAAAGCCATTTATGATTTATCATTTATTATTTCATTATAAAATATATTTCCTACATAGAAATATCTTGAAATAAATACAGGGTGTGGAAAACTTTGGTACTGTGTCAAAGGTTAAAAGTTAAACCAGGCATTATAGACCAGGGGATGTATTAATACTCTCTCTGATATCCTTATGAAATGGGCAGTGGGACAGGGAACCGTTTAGTGAAGGTTTTTTTACCCATCCTCCTTTTGCACATGGAAATGTAACTAGGAAAGATGTATAGATATGAAATATGGTGTTTCATCTAATGCTGCAATGGCTCTGGGCCTTATAAAAATTGCATTCTCTGCCAGGCGCAGTGACTCACGCCTGTAATCCCAGCACTTTGGGAGGCCAAAGCAGACGGATCACGAGGTCAGGAGTTCAAGACCAACCTGGCCACAATGGTGAAACCCCATCTCTATTAAAAATACAAAAATTAGCTGGGCATGGTGACCAGTGCCTGTAATCCCAGCTACCTGGGAAGCTGAGGCAGGAGAATCATTTGAACCCGGGAGGCAGAGGTTGCAGTGAGCTGAGCTTACGCCATTGTACTCTAGCCTAGGTGACAGGGCGAGCTTCCATCTCAAAAAACAAAAACAAAAACAAACAGAATTGCATTCTGTACTCCTACCCAGTGTTATTTTGGGACAAACTCTTAAAATTTATCTCACAGGGTAAAGTGTGTAAGAAAATTAAAAGGGGTAGTCAGGGACCTGAGGGCCATCAGCCAACACTAAGAATGGCCATCAACCACCATTCTTAGAGCTGGTGAATGTTTTCTTGGCATTGTTAAGGGTTGCCTAAGTTTATTTAGTAAGCTCCTAAATAAATGGAGAAAAATGTTTTATTACTCTCATATAAATGGATTTAAAAGAGAGATCTAAAAAAGACAGTTTGTTTCAGCCAGAAAACAACTTCATTCATATTCTCATTGGCATGTCTCTCATCCATATCTAAAAACCAAAGCACTTCTCATGTATTTACATAGTCTGTCTTTTGAGATAAATGGTCATTAAATGACAATTTAGAGAGAAAAGGAGTGAGGTGAAAGAGATTGTTTTAAGAATACCCTTTTTAGGCAATAACCTGAATACTAGGAATGAAAAATTAATTTTAAGACAGTGGTTTTAAGATTTCTTAATCCATATTTGAGAAGTATATTTTAGGAAGTATATACACACTTATAATATTTTACTGCACACCCTCTGGGTTTTCTGAGGCCCTGGCTTAACCCTTTTCTAGTTGCCATGACAACGAGGACACAAATACAACATCCATACCGTGAGCTGGATCTATGAGGAGGAATTTCCAACTGTATGCATAGTATGTGTATTTGACCCAAGCTTTTCAGAAAGAATTTAACACAATTTTAAATGTAGTAAATTGTCTGTGTGAGTCATACAATGGAAATAGCGTATGCAGCTAGGAAAATGTAGTCTCATAAATGAACCAAGGGAAAAATAACGTTGGAACCCTGTTCTCTCTAAAACCTCCATCTTGCCTTCCCTCATCTCTCTTCCTGATGTAAAGAATGTCATAGAAAACTTGAAGAAAATCATTCTAAGCTTTTATTTATTTTTTTCTTTTTAAAATCCAAGCCTAAAATAAATGATTTATTTTCAAGTAAATCATAAATCTATAATCTGAGACATTGGTCTTGCAAAAACACTTCAATGCTTCCAACTACTGGCTGTAAACTGCTTTTCTAAAAACCCTCCTAAATGTTCACTCTGCATTCTGAAAAAAGAAAACAGACTGAAATTTCATCGTCATTTTCTCTGATTCCTAACTAAGGTGCTCCTCACACAGAATCTCCCGAAAGCAGAGATGGATGCGTAGACTCTACAATGGAGAAAGGAGCGGTCCATTCCCCAAGTTCCATTCTGGACACTGAATAGCATCTTGGGAGAAACCAAAATGGGATCCCACTCTAGGTAAGACATGATATCACGAGCAGTGAGATTCCTGTGGATAGGGGAGTTTTCTTGGGCAGGGGTGAAGAGACACAGAAGAAAAGCAGGGAAGTGTGAATGCTAGGGATACAAAGAGAAGTCCCAGCAGGGAGCCTCACACAGATGCTTAATAAATGCTTTTTGATTTGACTGAATGATCAAAGTGTGGTGTCAGCGTCAAGCAGTCTTAGCACCATCGCCTATGAATGCCTTTGCAATCCACATGTCGATTTATCTGGGGGTAGGGGTCAGGCTGTCGGAAGGGATGCTGTGCCCTTGCTTGATGTGAGTGGGCAGCCAGGGCCAGCCGTGGGAAGGGATTGAATCGTGGCGTCCTGTTCTTGCGACAGCCACATTCCTTATCGGAAGCTTGTGCTGTGCGTTTGTCCTGCAAGCAAGAGCAGTCTGGGTGCATTTTTGAGATTCTGTGGGAATTACTGCAACTCAGACCCTCGGTTTTCTGATGTCCAAAAGGAGGGTGATAGTAAACAAGTAATAAGTAATGGTATTTGTTTATGTACATAGCTTAACTCATAAAATTGTGTGATGATAAAATAAACTTTAAGCAGCAGATGTAAAAAGAGAAGGTCCTTTTCATCAGAGTGTCCTGCTAGAATCCTTTTAGGAGGCAGGAGGCGGCATAGCTGAGTGGAAAGAATGTTGGCCTCACAGGCCAGAGAAACAAATTCATCTCCCAGTTGAGCATAAACAGTTGTGAGACCTTGAACCTCTCAGCCTTTCTGAGTTCCAGCTTTCTCATCTGCAAATTTAAGGTGGTGGTCTAGAAGATCTTCCACTTCATATTTTATTATCATACAGAGAATTAAGAAAGGAACTGAGAGCCTAGTTTCCCTGGGGAGGTCAGTTTTACTTCTGAGGCCCTCAGATAGCTCTCTAGATATCTCGCTAAAGGACAGAGGCATTTATATTCACATTTTCCAGTTGTATTTGGGAAATTGGAGTAAGGACCGATACATTTCACATGCCCAGAAGCACAACCCAGGTTAGGAAGGAGTGGGAGGCACTGCCTTACAGCAAACATCCACCTTATCTCGACCCCTAACCTGTCCTGGTCACATACCTCTGTCTAGATGAGCCATTAGGGATGGCCAGTGACCAAATAGCATGTGCAAAAGGAGTGGGTACTGGTGGGTAATGGGGAGAGGAAAGAGAGAAAAGACTTTTCTGGACCCATGGTAAATATGATTTCCTTGGTATTGAATGGAAAAGAATAAGCATTATTTTTGATAACTCAAGTCCAATTTTCAAGAGTTTCAACAATTTCAGTGGGAAAAAGTATGCATATGTATATGTGTATGTAATGTGTGTATATATGTGTATATATGCATATACATGCACAGACATGTGTACACACAACACATAAATACCTACGTGCACAAAGCATAAATGTACACACATACACCTGCATGTTTATAAATTTATATTAAGAATCTTAGGAAGGGCCTCATCTTCTCACCAGTGGTCTCTTCTCTCTGTTTCTACATCTTTGTCTCTCCCCATAAGGCACGTACCCAGTGAAATTCACACTGAAATGTACAGAACTCTCTTCTAGATATTATTCTTGGTGCAAACACTCCCTTAGTCCATACCCCTGCCCTTGGGCCCCCACCATCATAAAAAACAGGGACAGGACTTGAGAATTCTAACAGTTTGGGAAACTGTAAATGCCCACACTTTTACATTTGCCACTGTTTCCATGACAAATTTTTTTTCTCAGGAGAAAAGAACATTTCTAAAAGATCAAAATTAAATCACTTTGAAGACTCAAAAAAGGATGGTGACTCTGGGAAAGTATTAACATGAAATAACACTATTTGTATCAAAAATCATTTATGCCATTTATAAAATTCTCCCTGCACTTCAAATTTGCTAAGTTTAAGTTCAGTCTTCTTCTTGTGTGTTTCTTGCCATTGGCACAGAATACAAAAGGGAGAATAGCTTTTGAACTCTTTGGTGATGCAACAAAATCTGATTTCATTAATGGGGATCATTGCTGAGTGAGGTATTTTGTGCTGAAAAAGTAATTGCTAGTTTGACATAGAGAAGCCATATCTATATCTACACAAATGCGTATATAGAATGAGTAATATACAGATGTGTGTATTTATGTATATCTGTGTGGATAGATTGATGGATGGATAGATTAATCCCCATTCAGACAAAAGTCCTCTTTGTCTTGCCCATATTATTCTTCAGTTATGTACAAAAGGATTTTACTATCATCAATCTACTTGCCAATTATTTCTATGTTTTATGATCAGTTTTGGTTTTCTTCCAAGAAACTGTTGTGAAATGGTATGTGATAAATGCTATATAAGCAGATATTACT